TTTTTTTATCCGCTGTCATTAGGCGACCTCCACACTGCGTCCCCTGATGGTTTTGCATATATCGTTATGCTGGGGGAATATGCAAGTGTCGATCCGGGTGATGTTGCTTTGCCAGCAGCTGTCTTCAAACAAGTATTCAGCGTTCACTTTGTTTTTTTCTTTAACACACGTTAATAATTCCTAGCATCCGTCTTGTGTTCCTCAACTCCAGGGATAGACAGTTCATTTGTTCATGGTGGTGCTGGTCGAGTTTGTACCTCGAATTTTAAAAGTCATGCCTTTCTTCCTTTGCACCAATTGCCGTGCGATAACTTTGAATTAATTTTCTTGGCCTTGATGCCACTTACTTTGGGCCTTTTATACAATACATCTCAACAACCTCCCCATTACCTTGTTTAGGAACCCACCTGTCAAAGTGAAGATGTTCGAGTCTGGTGCCATGAAAGCAATTACTCAACTATGGCATCAGGAACTACACTCGTCGTCTTCTCCAAACGCAAAATTTCTCTCGGACTATCTGCTTGTGCTTAGTTCAATCCTGCGTCACTTTCCGCTATCACAAAAAGTATTCTTCGCAGCCCGTTCTGACGGCAAAGATCCGGTCGGGTTTGCACTCCTTGACGCCACTATAAAGTCTCCAGTCTGGCTCTGTCGTGACGTTCAGTGTCAGAAGTTGAAGCTACGCATATTTGGACTTCTCGGTGATCTTCTTGACGAACGGGCAAGTGCCAGTTGTTCCATTTCGACAACTACCTCCCAGTAAATCTGTGTTACATAACTTTAATAGGCTTTGTCGGCAGATTTGAATGATTTAATTTATTTTCGAATTGTGGAAGAGCGTGTGTGTGTCTTAGTCCATTGTTGAATCAGGAGTACCCGCTAGAGTCCAAACTGATTGTAGTTGGCAGACGAAGAAAAGTCGAGACCCGGACCGGCTTGAGCCAAAGGTCCGCCGGGGCGAGTTGGGTGCCCGGCCGGGAACTGCAGGCGAACAGATACTGACCGTCATTAGGCGGAAGCCTCTTTGTGGAGAGTCCCCGTAGACGGCCGAACGCTGCGGCTGGGTTCAGGAGCGTAGCAACGGTGGTGATTAGGAGGGCCGGGTTGCGAAAAGGTCCACCAGAACTGCTGACCTAAGAGTGCGTTGTGAGGGGCGACTGGCAGGATAGAAGCCTCTGCATAAGGATCATTGATAGGCGATATTTTAGATTGTCACATTGGATAGTGTTCCCAGTTGAATCTTAGGAAGGGCTTTCCTGTGAGACCATGTTTGTCCGAGATTAATAATAATAATAATATTAAAACTACTTCCACGTTGTCAGTAGCCCGATTTCTCACAAATTTTCGCTTTACTGTCACGTAATAGACTTGGATGTAGGGGAAATTTTTTTCGGGTGGCCTCAAAAGAAGTCCCAACCGAATCTTATTTGTAAATTCTTCTCCTTTCACGACTCTGCCTCTGAAAAAAAACAATTCCTCCCTCGGCAACTGTAATCTGTTTCCTTGTCGACCACTGTCACATACCATTCGCGGATACCAAGCTCTTGAGCAACAGTCTGTGCACTTTGTTCTCACCTTAGTCTTCCGCTGAACATCAGTCTCGACGTATCTTCGTGCAATTAAATTAAAGTGTCTGTTTTTTGTTTGTGCAGAATACGACGGATAAAACAAACGAGCAGAAACTCCAACAGTACTCTGAGTAAGTGTCTTGGTTCCTAGGCATGACATCCCTAAACAGATTGTATTTTACCCTGATTAATTCTCGTTTATACTCGCCTTTTAAATGGAAGAAGCTCAGGTTTTCAAGTTGTGGCGCTCGTCATCTGCCCATTCCTGAACTTTTTATCTTCTGTTGCCCCACAGGTTTGACCTCGCCGCTGGAATTCGGCGCTACGGATGGTGTCGAGAGGTCGTTGCCCTAATCACAGACTCTGCCCTGCTGACTGACCACAGTTCACGCGAGAGGGCACTGCGGGCCGGTCTACAGATTGCACAGGTTTGTTCTCCGCAGCGTTTATTCGGCAACGAAACGGACTCCAAAAGCCTTTCGAATGTGCTCGACGGGTGGGAGAAGGAGTATAGCGAACTCGCAAGAAGAGAGGTCACGGATGTCAGTGTCGAGGAGGAGCACTTGCGTTACTTTGCTAGTTTACTGGAGTTGCTTTACAGGTTCCGCGCTGTGGTTTACGGGACAGAAAAAACTTTCCATCCACTTCGCAGTGAACTATAAGGAGGAACACAGACTTTCATTATATATATATATATATATATATATATATAT